ATGATGGATGATTTGGAGAGATTGCATCCCAAAGCAGTCCGCAGCAGGTCCCATCTCAGGGTTGTGTAGAGAGCTCCTGTTCTCATGAGCTCCGCATTCCCTGGCATCCAGCCCATGTCTTGAGCGCTCGGCATCGAGATGTGAGCTACGTAAGTGATGTAGCCCTAAAACCCCTGACCCCGAGGATGCATTTTTGTAGCTGTCAGTAGCTGATCTTGCCTCTGAAACAGGTTGTCACTTGCTCCAGTGACAGAGTTGCACTCCTTTCCCTGCCAGACCTATCCGATGTGCCGCCACAAGGAGAAATGCATCCACTCATTGCCCTGGCTGGCAGTCAACTCCCTACTACTCTTTAATCGTATAAGTCGGCCACACAATTGTTAGAAGTGGAAGAAGGGAGGGCAGCGTTGCCTGTCTTGATGGCAGAGCGGTCCTGGCTGCGTGTGCACCTTGCTGCACCGCAGCCTTCCTTGCTGCTGCCCAAGCCTGTGATTTTCCAAGCGCTCCTTGGAAAYGCTCTGGCGCGGGGAGGCTGTGCCGAATCCGCCCCGCAGCAGCGAACAGAAAGTTCCAATTAGGAAAATCAGTGGGAATATAAATATGTGTCTCGTTGCAAGGCGGTAGTTATCCGCAGCAGCCCCAAACAAATCCCTCTGCGAGGGAGTCGAGTCCCACCCTGCTAATGGGCGCACAAAGGCGCGTGGGTGCGGAGCCCGTGGTTAGGGCAGCGGGCGCTGCGCCTGGGCTGTAATCAGCGCCACAGGGGAGCTGCGCTTTAGCAGAGCAGGAGTGCGTGTCCCGGGCAGCTTCCTTTGCCAGCTTGAATCCTGCTGGGAGCAGGGCATTGTCCAGGAGAAGGTAGTGCCACTCCAGGGAACCTTCTTTATATAGGAGCAGGGATAGAGAGTTGAGCAGTGAAGCTGGATGAACTTGGGGAAGGAGAGTTTGCAGAGGGACCTGCTTGTGTTAGGAGGAGAGATGAGYAGCTGGACCAAGAAGGGGAATAAAAGTGATGGCTGATGGGGGAACCTGAAGGAACTCAACCCATCGAGGTATAAAGTCTACCGGAAAGCAGCGTGATGGAAATAACACCTATGAAGTGGAAGTTGCTTTTCATGGGGAGGAAGGACAGCGCGGCGAATGGTGGCCGTGGGCATCCAGCCATCTCTGCAGGTTTGTAGTCCCTGAGCATCTACACCAGCACCCCAGTGCACGGAGGGCGACTCTGGTGCCCTGCTGAGCGCCCAGTATAGACACCGTATCTGCTGCCACAAGCTGCTCTTCTGCCCGTGCAGCTGCACAGTTTCTTCAAGCAACCCAACCTAACCCGGCAAAAGGCTGTGGGCTGTTTCACGGCTGTAACTGTGTCCACACCAGGGATTTTCCTGGTTTAGCAGTGTCTCCTACAGTGTAATCTCTTCTCTTCMCCTTCCCTGCCTACCTTGAGGCTCTGCTAATGTAACCCATGGGCATAAATGATGCCTGACTCATGCCTAATCCACATGCAAAATGTAAAGTAGGTGATGGGGAAAATCGGAGAGGATTCTGCTTCTGCAGAAGTTATTGGCTGTCATCTCCTTTAGAAGAACCATAGGTAGCAAAGGGAGAGCCAATTTGAATCTGAATCCCATGTGCCTATTTTTAAAATCCAAATTCACAAGTAGGAAAAAAAAAMCCAACAGGAAAAGATGTTAATTTTCATGCTGTTTCCTGTGGGCAGTTCCTTATATGTTTGCACAGCAGCCTGCTGACTTGAAGTTTATTTCTCTAGGTGGGTAGCTTGCATTTTGTTCCTTTGTTATAAAAAGGAGGCGTTTTGGGCGTCAGTTTGTATCTGCAAATAGTTTTGAGCATAAAAACCCTGGGCACTTTCTTTCCTAGTGAAACCCATAGGTGAGGGAGTTAGGTGACCTTGGGCTTTTTGCTGGTCCAGGTGCTTGGTAGCAAGTGGGGGAAGATGATTCCAGGTTGGAGACCCTGTGCAAAGCAGAGCTGCAGCTACACTGGAGCAGCCCCAGCTGCATCTYCTTAAATTCCCTTCATAAAATGCTCCTCCTTTCCGAGGAGCTTTGGTTATACAATCACCTACATTTTCCTGTGTGTGTGTGGAATACTTCTGCTTCCCTCAAAGCCTGATCATCCTCCCATTGGAACCAGTGAAGGTTTTGAGGAAGTCACTGAGAGGTCCTCTCACTGACTTAAGCAGAATCAAAGTCTTTAGCAAGAAAATGGACTCATGGTATTTGGTATTTGCCAACTTTTTATTGCTGGGCCAAAATGACCATTTTTTTAACATKCAGCAGACAGGATTCATGCAGTACATCTGTATATTACACTGCACGATCTGATTTTAATTGGATATTTTTATAAGCTTTAAGTAAATGATAACTTATTCCTTATAGTTAGTACTGCTGAAGCACATTATTGAATTATTTATTTCATACATTTTCGCTCAGTGTATTTGGATGCCTGCAGACCAACCTTATTTTGGTTTTTGAAACTTCCTTATAAATAGTGGTAGTTTTTAAATATTTGCCAAAAAATGAGGTCACCCTCCTTCTTCCCCTGGGAGGAGRGAAGAAAAATCCCATGTGCCTCTCCGATCGGTAGGAAGTTGATTTGCAAAACAGATGCTGCGTACAAGCAATTGAGTTGAAGTTGCTAGAAATATGTATATTCCACCCAACATCTGCAGATCTCGAGATGTATTCATTATCCTTCCAGAATTTAGATTGTAATTACGGCTCCTTTATTTAAGTTTCCATGGTGACGTGGGAAATGTTTCCCTCTTGTCCTTTTCTAATCAGGACACTTGTATATCTGAATGGGGAGCGTTCTTCTCTCCCCTGGGTGAAGTTAGTTGGATTAACATGGAGATATTAACGTGACGTGGAGCCGTCTGCTCCTCAGACAGGGATTCAGCAGCGGGCGGATCGAGCATTCCTGCAGATTCCCTGGTGCTGCTGTTTAATTAGCCTGCATGTTTCCAAATGTGGGGAGGAAATAGCATCCAGTGTCGTAACAAGGGATGCTGTCACGCTTTGGGGACTTGCAAAGTTGAAGTCAAAGTCAAGAGCCCATATTAAATCTAACTGGGTCCAGCTCTTCCCCTTCACCCGGGCAAGTTTCCATAGGTGAATTCAATAGATGGGGCAGAGACATAATRTGGCTTAAACTTTGATTCAGTGTGAATCAATGTTATCTTATGTGTAAAATGCTTCTGAGCATCATGGAAATGGAGGACAAAGCAGCAATAGCCCCATCTCAGTTAAAGGCTGCCAGTGAATTACTAATTTTAGGTGTATGCTACGTTTAATTTACAAAAGAGTCCCCATGGTGGAAATGCAAGCAGAGCTGGCACTGGGATCTCTCTGCTCTCCTGCACCACTTACTTTTAAATGAGTCTAATGAGGTATTTCTCAGTGAGGTGTGCAAAAAAAGGTGAGATTTTCACATGCACTCAGASAATCAAAAGGAAACTGGTGCTGGGGGAGCACAGGCTGCAAATCCTGCTCCCGCCATGTGTTGCAGAGCAGGTGGGTTTGGAAGTTACTGTAGGAACTGCAACACTTGGCTTTTTTTCCTCATGCTTTCAGTCAAGGAGATCCTTGATTTGGTCTTGGTGTACGTTTAACTTGGTGCATCTCAGGAGCAGCTGTGCAGCTCCAGAGCCCTTCTGGTGTCTGCTCCCCACATGGCTGCAATGCTAAAAAAGCTCCAAACGAACCCCTGATTCCCAGAAGACAGCAAATTGGCCAGATTTTTTTTCCAAACAGCTCCTCTAACTTCCAATTATGGTCTGAATTTTTCAGCAGTGGTGAAATAGGCCATATTGACTGTCCCAAAAAAGGGCCTTGCTCTTGGTTGCAGGGATTTTCTTGCYGGTTGCCTGGAGAGCATTTGTCCACAAGCTTTCCCACAAGGCTGGAGACGCAGAGCTCTTGGGATATTTCTTTTTATAACCACATCTCCATACTGTGTTAATGCACATTTATTTAAATACACAGCCTCATGTACATGCATGCAAGATATTAATGTTGCAGATCGTTTTTAGAAAACGGTGAAAGACATGTCTCGTTTCCTAAAGATGATATTTTACTTGGGATTTTTGGCATGCTGTTTGAATGAAAAGTTTGTGTAAATTGGAATAATTCTTATTTTCTGTCTTACATACCTAGAGTACATCTACATGTAAATAAAACCTATTGGCATTTGGTGACCATTTAAGTTAATTCTGTGGATGTTGCATGGGCTGCAAGTAGTGAATTGGCAACACAGCTGGCTGAAAAGGACTCCCTGATTTTATGCGTTTAGATTAGAGCACATGTAGGCCATTGTGTGGTTATATAGCCTGAAATAATTTTTATTTAAAGTAATTTTAAACCTTTTATTTTTATGGCTTGTATAAAAGTAATCAGTTTTTATGATAGGCGGCCACTGACCGGTACAAACTAATCTCTAAAAAATCTTTGTCTTCTTCTATCAGTGTAGAAGCATTTATCTCTTTTCTCCATCTGAAATTATTTTTTTAGAAGGAACAACAGGCTTATTGTTAAAATGTGCCAAGCGAGACCCGAATGCCAAGTTGATGAGCATGGCAATGCAGAAGTCACCTTCTGCTGGAGAGAGTGTCCTGACAACCCTCTTGCTCTGTTCTTTAATTTGCTTTGTCTTAGCTAAGGTAGTCATTTTATAAATGGTTCCCTAAGTATATTTTGTCTTATTTTGTGGTTTTCCACTCTCTCAAAATCTCTGAACAGATGACATGCAGAATTGGGCGAGGTTTGGTAATATGTAGCTGATGATAATGCCATATGATGTCTACAGRCCTTCCAGAGGTTTGAAGAAGCAGGTGATCCTCAGCTTCCTTCTCTGGTTTGTCCCAATTCCTGTGTTTTCTCCTCAAAAGCTCCCGGGGAGAGCTGCAAGGGTGCCATGTTACCTGCCTGCTCAGCCAAGACTCACAGATGTCTAAAGCCTGAGCTGTGTTTTTCTCCCAGCAAACAGTTACGGGGAGGATGAAGAATTGACAACCTCTTCGGACAGCGACGATGAGGTGAGGAAGCACTTTGAGATCTCTGTGTCCCGTCCACAAAAATCGGTGCCAGCGGCCGTGGAGCATAGAGCCAAATTCAGCCGCTTGCCCTGCAGCCACGAGGAGTACAGTACAGAGGCATCTGAATGTGAAGGTATTGCTTGCAAAAATGAGATTGAAGAACTTGCTGCGTTGTTTTGTTGCCCTCCACCTGGAAAAGGATCCTTTGTTATGGAGAACAAGTCCTGAATCTTGTTTTGCCTCTTGCTAAACTTGGTTCCCTAAGTCATTACCTGCAGCTAATTTCTAAAATACTTGTGGAGGAAGAGTCTAGATCCAAGCCCTGCTGAAGTCCATGGAGGTCATTCCATGAACTGTACATTGATTTCAGATTTTGACTGCTAATTTGGAGGGTTTTTCATGGATTTTATTGGCAATTTTGCCTGAATAAGACTGCAGGACTTGGTTCTGATAGTTTTAAATGATATTACTTCATTTCTTTAGCAAGACTTTTAGCAGAAGCTGAATGTCTCCTTTTATAGCAACTTTGCAAACACAAGGTGAACAGTGAATGAATTATGCTGTATCATTTACCAGCACATATGCCAAATGTCAGGCAATGACAGAAACTAAAAATTTATGCACATAAGGGAAGAATTTTATGATCTTCTATAGACTAATGTAATGACTCTTTTATACAAACAAAGATGAAATGCTTTTAAAAATGTAGCTACTTAGAAAATTGGCCTGAATGGATTCTAAAATCTAGAAAAATTCATTAGAGGAAGAATCATGAAAGTGCCTTTTGTTTTTCGTTCCATAAACTGTTTTAATTTTGAAATACAGTTGTTTGATTTTAATGCTCCCTTTTATTAATGTGATCATTTTGAGTTACGGCTCTCTGTTGAACTGTTCTTCTCTCACAGCATGGTGCAGAGTTGCTCTTACTTTTTATTTCAGAGGTAACATTGATATAACATTAGCTATTCAGAAGCTAGATGAGACCAGAAGTTGAAGCCTGCTTTCACTGATGGTATTTGGTTTTCTGCACCAAAGATTGGCTTCATTGGGCTCAAGGTTAGACCCTTCATTACAAATATGTCTATAAAAGCAAATCTGTAGGTATATCAGTTGTCCTTCAAACCAAAAGAGTCTGAGGACCATTGAACTGCTCTTACCAGGTGTATTATGATGGTTGCACCTACTCACAGCTCCTGACATGGATGTCTGTTTAGTCAAAAAGCACAGTGGATAATTCCCAAATAACCCTCACATCTTGCCAACCCTCACAGCTCAGAGAACTTCATATAGATGCCAGTCCCTGGCAAGTGCTATGAACAGCAAAGTAGAAAGGTTCATGAGTGCAAAGCTGTGATTGATCCTCAGTGCATCAAACACTGCTTCAGCTGAGCAGATCCCTCAGGACTTCTTGCGGGGGAGGTTGAAAGATCTTCTGAAAGTGCTGAGGCCAGACTGAGATCAATGCACTTTCACCAACTTCAGCCTCTGCCTGAACTCTTATGGACTTGTCCTCTCTTAACAGACATTTTACTTATATATTTGGAGAACAAATGATCTACAACAAACTTAGAGATACAACAAATTGGACATCTCAGAGAGCCTTTGATATCTTCTCCGTTATTCAACTTGACATGCTGCGAAGTCTCCTCACATCATCACCTTGCACAAGACTTTTGTTGGCCCTCTRTTTCTGCTATCCATGTCATGGGACTCTGCACCTTAACTTTTCACTTGTGGAAAAAATCTTTTAGATCTTTTTAGATGCTGGAAAGAGGAGTGTGCGTCACAGGAAGGAAATGCTTGGAGGATGCTCTGGGGAGCTGAATGGGTGGGATGGCAGCTCTGCCACAGCCTGTCTGCAAATCACCCAGCTAATAAAGAGCCTATTTTAGTTCTGGAAACATGGAGTCTTCTCATGCTATTACACAGCGTGTGGTAAATTAAACAATCTTGCCTTGATTGCATGATGTCACTTAAAATTTAAGATCCTTTTTCTCTTTAACCCCTAAAATTTACAAGCCATTTTTGTTTAGATTTATTGTAATTAGATAATGGTTTTGCTCCTAGGAGGCTCTTTGAGGAAGTTTGCTTAGCACTTTTTATTGGCCTAATCACAAAATAACCCGGAGCAGGAACGCTGCTCACTGCCCGCTCTTCGACTTGTTTGGTTGTGTCAGTGAGCAGCTGGTGCCAGAGCACTGAAGAGTGGTTTGAAAGCAGAGCTATAGCAAGGGCAAAGCAAGAGAATTACTGTTGTATGAGGGCTAACATCCCTCATTTCCATTACCCTGTGTTCCTGCTGCTTTTCCTGGCTTTTGGGAAGAGGGACTTGCTGGAAGCTWGTAAGATTTCATGTCAAGAAGTACCCCATCCAACCAGAAATCTTTCCTCCTTGAAAGAGGAATTGAAGAGGTATTCAAATAAGCTCTTAATTTTCCACATGTATATTGAGGTAGAGTCTGGAAGTAGGAATCAGTTTTCCTTCCTTTTGGAAAATCACATTCACTTTCTTGTTAAAGCCCCTTGATTCTCTGCAGTCCTTAGAGCAGACATCCCCCGGTCAGTGCAAGGTACTTGTGTTAAGCAAGAAACCTCTGAGTGTTGCTACTCAATGAACTGTGCAGTGTTAATGTAGCTAGACCCTACTAGGCTTCATCTTTTGACTTTGTGGTACCTCCAAATTATTGACAAGACCTCTCAGTGTTTGTTTCTTTAGGACCTAGTAATGTTTAAGATGCTTTAAAGTCGGAGCTTGTTCATCACTGAAAAAGAAAGATAATTTGGGTTAACCAGGCCATTTGCTTGCCAGTGTGAGTGAGAGGGCTATTTTCCAGCCTAATTTTCAATGTTGAATATGCTGAAACTTTCCCGTATCTTTGGAGAGATGCTTCATTAGCCCAGGACCTGCGAGAAGTCTGTGCCCTGATGCTGCAAGTGAGATTCATCCTTTCATAGAAGTCACAGTTTCTTCCTAGCAATTCATCAATCTTGAAAACAAACTTCCCTGATTTATCGATAATTTGCATTCCTTAGTGTTCCCATTGCCTGCTTCTTGGTGTGACACAGCAAAAACAAAATCGGGGCGGTGCAGGAATGAAAAAATACTCTTTTTAGTGCATGGTGCTTTCTGTCCTTAAGTCTGAACTTGGCTGCTCTTGCTCTGTGGGGTCTCCGGACTAATTACAGTTCAGATATTTAGCTAATGCCGTTTCTGCATGTGCCTGATACTGTGCTGTTTATTCTTGTCAGTTATTCATAAGACAGTTGACATTTTCTTCCTTAAAGTGCTCTCAGGTAAATTATAGGCTTTTAATGCTATGACCTTTTCCCTTACATGAAGCACTTCTGCTTTGACTGGTTTTTTTTTCCTTTTTTTTCTTTTTCTTTTTTTTTTTTAATGTGACTGTAGTGCTAGAATGCATGTAATTGGAGAGGTATAGTTGTCTTTGTCTGTATAGTTGAGCCATTACCTGTAATGATTCTCTAATGTGCGCATTTATAAGTGATTATCACTTACCAAACTGCCTTAAATTTAAAGGAAAAAACTGTTTTACTAAATGGTCTTGGTGAATCACTTTTTCCGTTCCTTTCCCTATATATCATATTTGCTTTCCGAACACATTCATTTTGTGCCTGAGTCTTAGGGAAATGGCTTGCTCTATTAATATATTTCTGGAGTTTTCCCCTTTTAAATAGCCTTTTATGGCTTTAATGCAGTTTTTGAAAATTCCTCTCTTATTGATCTAGATATTATCCCAGCAGGAGTCAAAACCACAAGACAATTGCATGAGGATCATTTCTTACTACAGTAGCTTTTTATTCTGAAAGCCTGCTGCGTGGTGTGTGCTTTGATGGATGACCCACTGTTTAAAATGTATATTAGACATTGCCTTGCTAATTAAATGCCTTAAGGAGAGCCTGTACCCATTCAGTCTCCGTAAATATATATACTTGGATGTTCCATTATTTTATTTCTTGCTTGTGTTCTTGTGTTTATGTATGTCTCTTTTTTGACTCTTCAGAGTTACTCGATAGAGAGCAAGAGCAAAAATAAATTACTTTCTACCCTCACTCAAGAGTTTCAGCTCAGGGCAGTGGGGTGGGATGGGGCTTCTCAGTTTCAGAGTTGGGTCTACCAAATGCAAGGTGGAAGAGGTGCTTTTTCTTAACATTTTAGACCTGAGAAGAGCACTCACTTAGAAACTGAGAAATCCCAGTTCACATCCTCCTTTTCTAAAAGACATCTGCTGTGTCTTGCAGCACAGGGAGTTGTCTCTGATTTTTCTCTTGAAGTTCCCGTCCTTGAGACATTTTCTTGGGAGGTGAGACCTTTCCTGAGAGGAGGGAAGAGGCAGGCTGCTGGTGCTTCTCTTCATCCCTGAATTTAAAAACATTTATATTGAATTTAAAGAGCAGCCAGGGAGAGAGGCAGAGACTTCTGCCCATCTTGTCAAATGGCACCCAACTTGGTTGCATAATGCAATTCCTTGCATTATTTTTATTGAGCAGATATGAATCAGAAGCAGTATGTTTGCTTAACAAACTAATTCTTTTCTATTACATGCAGTCTCTTTTGTTTGTTTTTGTTGTTGTTGAAGTTTTGGATTGATAGCCAACTTTTAAAAACAGAATGTTTTATAACAGTATCCTTGTTGAGAGCAAACTTTTCAATCCCCAAATGAAGGAAACCACTCACTATCATTACTTTCGCCAGCTGCCTGGGAACATGACTTATTTTATAGCTGCTCCTTGCCTGCTTGAAAGTGCTGGAGGCAGAATCGGGTTCTTTTGTGCCTAAAGCAACACCTGTCATCAGATTCATTAGACGTCACAAGATCTCTCTTTTCTTCCTGAAGTGTTGGCAGAATATTCCTGCCCTTTCCTCCTCTTCCTCCTCGATAAAAGGAAGACATCAGGCCTATATGTGCTGTGTTTTTCTGTGATTTTTCTGATCTGTACTTTCATGGAAGTGATTGCTTTGGGACCACAAATTAGCTCCAAGGCACTTTGAACATCCCAAACGCTCCTTGATGTTTGTTTGTTTGTTTTATTTATTTATTTATTTTGGTGCATAACATTCTCAAGTAAAAACAGATAGTTTTGCTGTTCAGGACGTGGAGAGTGACAGACAGTCATGTCTATTCCATCCAAACATTGGTTTGTACAAGATGTTACTCACAAGTCCARTGCTGAAAAGCTCGTGAGTAGAAATCTTCCTGCCACACACACTATGTAAGAAGGTAAAAACAAGCAGAGAAAAAGAAACACTTGGGGAGAGGGGAGAGGAAGAATTCCTTCTAATCCTTCTGAAATTATTTTCTTGCTGGAAATTATTAGATTTGGATGGACTAAGCCAGCTGAGTTGCCAAGACAACCTGTCGTATCACGAAGATGACCGTACATCTGCTGATTTGAGAACAGCAACCGAGAGCAGGGGCTCTGGGCAGCACAGAAGACTTAGGATGGAGCCTAGCCTTGCTGCTGGCATTAGCCAGCCGGCCACGGACGCACGCTTGGACACGGCGTTTGCCAGCCAGAGGTTTGAAGGAAATGATGCTACGGACAGCTCATCGGCTTGGAGCCCTGAGGTACGCTGAGTTGTTGCACCCGGGAGCTCTGTTCTTGAGGGGAAGAGGAAGGGGGCCTGAAGCTCCAGCTCTTGGGAAGAAATGAAGTGAAAAAATGATCTGCACAGCGCAAGATAATGGCACTCCTGTGTGCATGAGTGCACACACCTCCCTTCCCTCTTATGTTTTTACCTCTGATTACTGATACTTGTTTGGGAAAGCTGCTTTATCCTCTGATTTCTGACTGCACTCTCTGCTCTGAATTGGAACCATTTGCTGCCTGACAGCGTTTGCTATCAGTTACCAACAAACGTCCCTCAAGGCRCTGCAGGGGCACGGGGCAGGCTGTGCATCCCCCTGCAGCCAGGGAGGTGCTGTGGGATCACTGGGTCACGTCTGTGCCTCTTTTTTCCAGATAATTTCTGTTGTTCAGACAACAGGAATTATCTGGAAAGCTGGAGGCAACTGCTGGGGCGTGTCTGTGACTTAACCACGTGGCCATCACTCTGGTCTCCTTTAACATGAGGCATATTTTTGAAGGTGGATGGGGTCTGAGGTTGGAGCATCTCTGTTCTCCATTCGTTAGCTCTCTGCTTTTATTCTGAAACCTCAGGAAACCATTACAGATTTTAAGATGCCTTAAGTGTCTGATGATTTAGCATTCCCTTTTTCCATCCTATTCTTTCTGTGTGATATGTCCAATTTCATTATCATTTTACCACAAGATTTAATTTCTGAAAAAAAATATCAGCCCGCATCACATATATTGAAAGCACAGCACAAAGGTCACATCTTCCCGAGTCACAGGAGACCACTCATCTGCTGTAGAAATGAATACTCCCATACTTGGAGCAGCAGGCTTTGATGGAAACGCTCCTTTCCTCGGAGCACGTTGCTCTGAGCCAAGTAAGTAGATGTCAAGCAACTCCTTAGCTCGTATGAGCCAGCCCTAAGGGTCATTTTGAACAGCATTTTGCCTTGCTGTACAAACCAGTCCCCACAGGTACTCCAGGACACACTGAAACACAGTGCGGAGGTGATCCTTCCCTCCGTGACACGCTGTTTGTTGACCTGCCTGAGGCTCCTTTCTCCTTCCCTGTGTTCGCTGGGCATGGCACGTGGCTGCTGCACAGTCTCAAGCGTCCTCTGCTTGCACGTCTCTGGAGGATGTCTCTCCTTTTGCTCCTGCCAACAATGGGTATTGCATCAGGGGGCAGATCTGCCCAAACCCCAGTTTATCTACTACAAGTAGCTTCTCGTCCAAAGGTATTGTGTGGATTAATGAAAGACTTTTTATTGCGGGAACTAAATGTTCTGACATGCCAGAAATGTCCATGTGCTATTATGCTCCATTCAAAAGACCTCTCTTTAGAGACAAAAATGGTAATTTTATGCCCCTGCAGTGGAACTGCAAGTACCATTTCGAGCCCAGTCCATAATTAGCTACTCTCCCAGGTGTCCCAGGACTCATTTTACCTTGTGAAAAAGATGTTGGCTCTGTCCTGAATGACTGGATTAGACATACAGTATCCATCAGTATACTTGGCTTGACGTAACAGCAACACTGCTAGGAAAAGGGAAGGAAATGAAATCAAATGGAAGCATCCAAGCCCCACGCTTCCCGTGGCAACGAGTTTGTTTGAATAGCTGGTTCATTCACAAAGAGTTTGCAGCCCCAGCTGAGCTCAGAAAGACAACRGGAATTCTGGCGGTGGTTTCAATAGAGAAGACCAAGCGTCTGTAAGTGCCATGTGCTGGAAACCTGAGCAGCAGCGAGTTTCTCCCTGGATGGGAGCTCAGTTCTCCCTGAAAGGGCCAACCCTGGCATCTGGAAGGTGGCTGCCCAAGGAAGGGTCACTGCCGTAGAGTTTAACATTTCTCTTTTGCTCCCTTTTTTCACGTCTCTGAGGTGGATATGTCCATAGCTATAATAATACAACATGAGATTTGCCAAAATCCAGATACTTTCTAGCTAGCATGTCAAAGACCTGGCCTTCAGTCTTCTCTATGCTCTGCTAGAAGAGGAGATGCTCAGCTCTCCTGGGACATAGAGGTGCCTCTTGGCTCTCGGTACCTATGGGTTTACCATGATGTATAGGATTGCTCGTTCTGCAGCCCAGACATGTAGATGAAAGCCAAGTTATGCTGTGAGCATAACTCACAGCATAACTCTCCCTGCTTCAGTAGCAACTCTYCAGTGGGCCTCGCTTCTGTCTCCTCAATAGCAAATGCACAGGTGAAAGTGGGGAGCGATGAACATGTGGAGGGAGACATGAATCAAGTGTAATCCCATTACGTTTCCTCCTTAAATATTACTTCAGCAACCCAACAAAAATAACTTGACAGCTACACAGCATCACTTACATTTGCATAACTTCATGCTCTCTCCAGGCAGCCTGGCCTGCCTTGCATTTCTGTCTTTGAAGCCTGGTATTCATACAGAAAGTCACTTTTATGGGCAACCAAGTCACTTGGTGCACTACMCAGTAGAGGTGGTTCTTCTCTCTTGGGCCTTCTGCAAGATGTATGGAAGAAGTTCTGCATAATGTTCACACACAGACTCTTGTATTCACGTGCACAATCCCATAAGTATTCCTGTAAATGAGAAGAGCTGGAGCTTTGTGCTTAAGGGTAGGTGAATGGGAACAACTGAAAAATAGACCAACAGGAGGCAGGTATGGATTTTAAGCCTTACCTAGCATCTTATTTGAGACATAGGCTACCTTAGATACTTCTCAGGGTTACTCTATCAGAATCCCTATTACAGCTCATTATCTATGCTCTAAACAATAAGATTGCTGTGTTGAAAAGACACGTTACTTGAAATGCAAAAGAAGATAAATGTTTGAGGAGGAGGGTGACTCAGACTGCTAGTGACAGGCCTTAATTCACCTTCTGCCTATTAACTGAAAATCTTTCCCTAGTACAGTGTATACTCATGTTTAAATACAAATCATTGATCACTATAGCAACCCCTTTATCACATGAAGCACATTCTTGCTCTGAGATAAAAAGCACTTTTGAACAGAAGTGCGCACGCCCACTCATCGAAAGGTAAGGTGAGCATCCATGGGGTTTGTCTTGTTTTATCAAGAATTTGGTTTAAAAAGTAGGTAAAGGATTGTGTGTGAATAGGTTTTGCATCTGTTTTCGTTGTATATTTTGAAATTTTATTCCGAGTGTATTAGTATCCCAGCTAAACAGAAGGAACAGATGCATCTCTTGAGAGATTTAGAGAGGGAAAAAGGAATCAATTTATATTTKATCAGACTGTTTTTCTCCATTATTGTTGCTTTAACTATGGGGAAAAATATTGAGTTGTAGGGTAGCATTTAGAAATRGAATTTCCATTCTGCAAGCAATTCTGACATGATTTCTGCCCCTCATCAAACTGAACATAGTGCTGAAATTTGCCAGTTCCCTAACAAAACAAGACATCCAAAGAGTTACCACATTTGACTAGGTTTCAAAGAATGTAAATAATTCCCTCAATTTCATTGGGGGGAAAAAAMGTCCAATATATATCCAAAGTAATAGTTTTAAGTCCATTATTGTAACAAGATCACAAAAAAATTTAATAACCCCTCAAAACTGATATAAATGAAGTTAAAAAGAATAAGATATTTTTGTTTTAGGTTTTCCTTATGTAGAATTTTTGCCAAATTATCAATCTCGTGCAAAACATTTAAATGTTGGTGAAACTTTTTGTTAGAAACATTTCAACAAGTGCTGTTRCTTAGTAGACTGTATGGGAAACATTACAGAAAATCAGGCAATTAACAAGCATCAGCCTCTCTAGAAACAGTGGAATCCTTGCTTTGCAGAGCAGCTTCCTACACTTGCAAGCACAAGTGAGAACAGCATTTTTTTTTTTTTTTAGCAGAGTTTGGACCACAAAGGGCAGCTGAACTCCAGTGTAGGTTTTTACCTCCAGAAGGTTATTTCTTCTTCTTTCTCCTTCCAGGAACGAGATGGAATGAACAGTTTGCTGGTTCATCGCAGTGCCCATGAGCCCATCTGCAAATGTGGTGATCTAGATGTCACCTTCAATTATAAGGCCTCAAGTCAGAAGCTGGTGGTGACTGTCCTGGAGGCCAGGGATATCCCAGACAAAGACCGCAGTGGTGTGAACACCTGGCAAGTGCACATGGTCTTGATGCCCAGCAAGAAGCAGAGGGGTAAGACAAGTGTTCAGAGAGGACCTATCCCCATATTCAAGGATAAAATTACCTTCAGTAAGCTGGAGCCGGAGGAGCTTAGCAGCCATGCAGTCCGCTTCCGCCTCTATGCCGTGCACAAGATGGTTGGGGAGAAGATGATGGGAGAGCAGTTGTTCTACCTGAGCAACATCAGCCAGGAGGAGGAAGTGAAGGTGACGTTGGTCTTGGAGCCAAGGAGCAATCTGAGTGTAAGTGTAATGAAAGAGACGTGGAGTCCTTGAAGTTGTGTGCTTGGTGAGCAAAGACCATCTGAGTCTAACTTCATTTGAGGCTGTTAGGCTGCAACTCATCTGTCTTTCACATACTATGACAGAAATTATCTGAAATAAGATGAAGCACAGGTTGTGTCTACCCTACACAAAGCTGTACCTTGTTAATGGTGGCTTAGGTAGTAAGCTTGTAATTACACACACAGCTCATCAAATGATGTGGCAAGCAGAATTAGTACCTTGGGTCCCAGAACCATCTATTAAATCTTCATTTCCACACAGGTATTAGTTCCTGTGTACCATGSTGTTTGTGGAGCTGTACAGATCAAGAGCTGCCTTGTTTAGTTTAGTACCAGCCTGTGGATCTCTGCTTCACGCGGTGAAGTATCTTCAGGGCTCAGTTTCCATCTTACAAGAGACACTCAGCAGTGTTATTTTCTGTAGAAGATTGGAGAGGTGAGTCATGTGATGAGGAACCGGCTGTGCTGCCTCGTAGCCTCCCATCCACAGCACAGTTGCATCCAAGTCTGACTACGCCAATCAATTTGTGTAGACAAGCGCTGAGATTATTCACTGCCTATAAGAAGCTCAGTGTGAGGTTTTGTATGCAAAATGAATAAAACATCATACTCTGGGTGGGTAGGGGGTGAGGAGAACATCCTGACAGYGAGGAAAGAAAGCAAAAAARAAGAAAAACCACAGAGTGTGACCAAGAAAAAGAATGTGCTAAGTGCATTCCTCTCGAATATAATTTTCAAGGAGATTTACTCTGCATTTAATGTACTAGGATGTATGCTTATCTTGGAGACTTTGATTTACACTAGTAATAACACRTTAGACAGAGATCCTCGTCTTTAAAGAGAGAGTTCAGAAATGTGTTTTCGTAAAGTGATGCTCTGATTCGCGTTGTGCCCCATCGTAATTCATGCAGCTGACTCTTAGTCATTGTCATCTCTGAAGGCAGATCTTTCCTAACCCAGGCTCCAAGCCATAAATTAAAGGGAGGGTGGTAGCGAGTGTCCTGATGAGACTTTCGGTGCTCTCTCCCCCTGCAGAGTGGAGACTCTCAGCTTAGTCTGTCAGCAATCTCTCACAGCGACAGCGCTTCCTCGACACAGTCCCTGTCGCATGGAGGGGTGCCAGAGCTGCTCGTGGGCTTGGCGTATAATGCCACTACGGGGCGGCTCGCCGTGGAGGTGATCAAAGGCAGCCACTTCCGAAACCTTGCAATTAATAGGCCACCTGGTAAGTACTTGCACTGTTATTAAATAACACCACTGAGTCATTTTTTATTATTATTTATTTTTATTTTTTAATTTTCTACCTCGGGACGTCTCATTACGGATTCCTGATTTGAGTTGCCTTCCAGAGTATCTGATTGAAAATTAAAAACATTGTTTTGAACACATATATCAGGAAATCTAACATTGTAAATGGAGGAAATCATGCAAGGACGACTAACAGGACAGTAATATCTCAATAACTTCTTTATTGCATTTACCTCTAAAACATATGATGGTGGGGAAAACTGCTAGAATACTTCCCTTTTATAGGTGCAGACCCAAAGCACAAGAGATTCTCAGCAGGTTTGTGAGAAGAAAGCAGTTTTTTCAAATGTTTATATGTTAGCATATGACCTGCAGAAGACCTGCCTCATGCCGTAAGGTTTTCCCTGGGAAATACTTGGCTTATTCCCACTTGCTGTCCTGCTGAGCATTGACCTAGTGCTTTGTGCCCTTTGGTGTTCCTGCAGCTGTAAGTTCCTGCAGTCACACAGGAAAAAAATCCAGAGGAAGTAGATTTGAAATTAGTTCTCCTGGGTCCTAGTAGCTGAGTCTTCTTCCTCCAAATGTAGGAGAATAAAAATCAAAAAAGCCTTGCAATAGATGTATTTAATGCTTGAGTTGCTGTTAGTGCTTGGGAAGGATCAGGAACGGATAATATAGATGGAGTCATGCAACCATAGTGCTTTATTGCTGGGTGCCTCCTTTGGTGTGGATGGCAGCTCAGTGTTCAGGTTGTCTTGTCTTTGTGCCCGCTGGCTGCAATCAGCAGCACATGGCAATGGGAGATGAGTCTTTTTTGCTAGCTGGTGCGTTTGTTTAGTGTGATATGATTGCTGTCTTGTCAGGGGTGACTGCCTGTCACAGCTCCTCGCGTTCGCTAGGTTTGACCTCTGCAGCTTGGCAAGTGGTATAATGGCCTGTGCCAGATGCTGTGCTCTTTGGCCTAGGTATAGCAACATTTCAGTATATGGATATGAAAACTTACACATAAATCATTCAACATAAATTTACTACAGGAATCTGTGTGGTCAGCCAGTCCCACAAGAATTAAGGGCAAGTCTTTGTACCAGTCCAAGACAAGACTAAGGGCTGTGTAGCCCGAGCCAATCTGGGCTTAGCCATGACAATTTAGGTTTCCATGTGGATTACTTAACCGTTTGTTCTTGCTTGTGTTTATGTGTTCTGGGCCTGTGGTGAGGATGGGGCTTGGCAGATCAAGCACGTGCACGCAGGTTGGGAGGTTTAGCTGCCTTCACTATACATCTCACTCAACTTCTATAGCTGATGGGCGCACAGGAGGTGCAGTAGTTTTGTTGAAAGAATCTCTCACCCTGCTGAGCATTTTGTATGTTTATTGATGAGAAGAGAGCAGAAACAACATGTGAGGAAAGGAGGCCTTTGAGAGAGTTCTCATTTTAACTGCTATTTGAATGTTCTGTTTTCTGTGTTTGAAGGGTTTCAGATATGTCTAGTTAAACCACTTTGACAGGCTAGGCAAAGTCTGTGTCAGTCACCCAAACCCATAGTCCTCACATTGCTTCGTGTCAGTTCTGTGCTGCTAAGGCTGTTTTGAGTTGATCCTTCCTATCCTTTCTGCAACCAGTCCAACTCCGCTGCCAAACCAGTATGTCTGTGATAGACCATTATTAGGTGAAACACAGGGATTCAACATTTATTTTACAAGGAGGTTCTTAATCTTTCTTTACTTGGACCTCTTGTTTTTCTACATCGTACTTATGAACCTGCAAAATTCCCAGTAGGGTAGTGAGCAGAGGAAAGCCCAGTGAAGCAGGAGCTTGAAACATTGAAAAAGAAGAAAGAGAAGCCAAATGGCACTTGTGTCTGGTGCTGSGGTACAGTTTGGCTGGTAAGTCCTGCACAAGGAAGGGATGCTGTGTGGTCTGTCTGCTACCATCTGAACTGTGCAGATGTTCAATAAGAGCCTGTCACGAGGTGAAAGCTAGAGCTGCTCCCTTCCTTTCTAGAAGGCACGGAGATAGCCCTTGTGTTTTCCTCAATACTTCCAACCTCAGGTTCTGTTGTTTGAGCAGGATGATTTATTTCTTTAAAAGGTATAACAGCGCTTTGGAGCACTGCAGCCCAAAGCCAAACTGCAGCTTGGAGCAGCCATTTATGGAAAGATGGGTGGCAGAAGACCAGGATTTTTTGCTTTACACTCTGTGCCTTGTCCAGGGTCCATTTGACTCCATGCTTGTTGATGGAAGCACGTAGTAGTTACGCTTATGTGGCACCACATAGGCATGGAGCTCAGCATCTCCTGCAGCATGTAGGCTCCCTCCCCAGCCCTCACCTCCTGACACAGGGTTTGCCTCGTGTAGAAGCAAGAGCTGTGCTTGGACATGGGTGATTTAATGTGATAAAAACTGCAGAGGCTAAAACTGCTTTTCTCCAGAAATGCTTTTCTGGAGAAGAAAAGAAAGTTTGGACATGGTGGGATTGTGCATGTGTGAAAGTCGTTTTATTTAGCTATTTAGATGGGTTGCAGAAGGGTGAACTGAGACTGTGAGATATCAAAGTCATTAGTGCTTACTTGTTAAGGGATAGAGTTAGGAAACAGCTGAGCAGTTTACAGAGACTTGAATTTTTCCRGTTTTGTCTTCTCTGTAGCTGTTTTATGTGGAATTTAAGGGTAGTTTTGTCAAAGCCAGGTGCCCAGGAGATGTCTGGGGAATATGCTGCATTATAGGCCTGAGTCTGCAATCCCTGATCACACAAATAGGTCCATTATCACTCAAAGTACTTAAGAGCACTCAAAAGTATGGCTGCAGCATCAGACCGTAAATTATCATTATGTGCCAAAAAGCTTCATGCAGAAAAGCATCTACAGTTTTGTTAAATGAGGGCACCGTAGCTATTTTAGCACTAATGACTTGCRTTCTGTGCACTTAACTCTCTTCAGTTCTTGTGGAAATCATGAACCTGTGCTCGGATTTTATTAGGGTTCATATTCTGTTCTGTGATACCGTCTCTTCTAAGCAGAACAAAACCCAGCGTGTTCATTTAAAAGATGTTTACTCCAAGAAGGTAACAAGAGAAGCCTACAACTCTGTCAGCTACATCTTTAAAAATTTATAACCAATTACGTTCTATTTGCATGATAGTAGTACCTTGAGACTGTGGTTATGCACCAGGAATCATTTGTGCTATTCAGTGTATAAACACACAGCAGAGATGGTCTCTGCCCTGAGGGTGTTTAACCTTCTTCTGCTGCTCTGCTGGGTGCAGCTCTCCAGCCTCTGWTCCACAATCTCCATTCTTCCCCCGTTCATGTTTCTTTTGGGGGTTATGTCTGTGTGTAATGCCATTTGAGAAGGACTATTGGAAAGATATTCCCTCGCCYAAGAAAAGTCCTCCAAGCTTTTCAGCAGCTGCAGAATTAATCGCACATAATAATTACATCCGTACATGATCATTATTATACCAGCAGCATATTAACCCCATTAAACAAATACAATAGCATTAACGGTGAAAAAGACAGGAGGGAGAGAACAGGCGATCAGAACTGCTGTTGCAAATGGGAGAAATTCTTGAAGTAAAACCTTATCTGAAAACAAACAAGTACCTGAGCCAACCATAGCAAGGCCAAGAAGCACAGGAGGCGCTTACATAGAAAAAAAATGTGGTATTGTGGTGTTTGTGCTTGAGAGTCATTAGTGGATTTTATCTTGTCAACATGTTTGTGGGTGAAGAAAAGTTTTATTATCCTTCTTTCATASCTGGAGAACTAAGGCAGAGGTTGATTTGTGTAATTGCCCACATACATACCAGGAAGCTGAATTAAAAAAAAATAATAATAACAATAATAATAACAGCTTTTAACCAGCATAGCTGGCACTGAACAGGGGCCTACAGCTAAACAAGCTTGTTTGAGCTGGTGAAGCTTTTTAATTCATACCTTCATCAGTTATAAAAGGAGAGCCAGGAGCAGGATGAGCTGGGGTGGATTCAGACTGAAGAGCTTGAATCCAGTGGAGATGCTGTAGCAGTTACTCACTGCTGAGTAATTGTCGATGTGCCACAGTGAGCTTKTTAAGGACCGCTTCTCCTTCTGCATCTTTTTATTTCCTGTCCTTGAATGTGCCTTGAATAAACTTAGAATAAGAWAAGTTGAAAAGGTTTTGTTCAAGGTTGTAAAGATGAGGCCAGCTGCAAGGGATGTCACAGTACTGAAATGGAAGCTGAAGTGCAGATAAATGCTTGTGTGGAGGTAGGGATGGAATTAAAACTTAATATGATGGGCTCTGAGCCTATCAAGAGTGAGATGCTAGACTTACAGTAGATATGTTCAGGAAAATGTCCACCCAAGGATCAGCAGCAATAGTAAAAAAAGGCAAATGCAAAATAAGCAATGAACAAAGAACAAAATGAAAAATACCATTGTGTCACTACAAATGTCTATGCATAACGAATACCATAAACACCTCTGGCTTCATCCGTTCAAAGGAAAAATAGGGCAGAATTGGAAAGATGCAGTGAAGAACAACAGAGACAGTGAGGGGCATTGGAACAGCTTCCGTGCAAGCAACAACTAACGGAGTGTGCCTGCTGCCGTGCTGTGACAAAGAGAGGTGGGGAGCATTTCACAGGGGTCTTGGAATCCTAAAGTGGATTGGGAATGATTATTCATCATCATCTAGAACGAAAGGTTGTACAAAAACATACAAAAATGAAAGGTCATAAAATGAAAGTAGGAGGTCGCAGGTTTGCAAGATGAGGAGACAGCTCTTCACGCAGCATGTACTTAAGCTGTCAAGGTCCTCCCTGCAGAACACCAGGGATACTGAAAGCCTTCTTGAGTTCAGTACAGCCTTGAACAAGTTTCTGAAGAAAAATACAGTGAGGTAGACTTACTAAGGCACCTGGTGTTGGTTGCTGCTGGGCTGGCTGGACTGACTTGCTGCAGCTCTTCCCATCGTATGAGACCTGAGATTGATGGGG